CACCTCCCCGAGCCGGGGTCTCTTCCTCTCTGCCCTGGGGTTGTAGTGGCATCTGCCTCCTGCACAGGGGAGTTGTGGGGTTGCATGTGTTGGCGGGCCTGGGATTGGAAACCAGGAACTGGATCGTGAAGCAGCAGTGGGCTCTGGGTTGGCAAGGGTTTATGGCCTCAGTGACCTGGCGAGGAACTTGCAGCTAAAATGCTAGATCTCGGCACATGTAGATGAGAGGCTGGCTCCTCGCATACGCTGAGGAGCTGAAACCTGCATCTCTGCGTGGACTCGGGGGCGTTCAGTGCCGTGGTGAGCGCTGAAGGTTGCGTTGTTGGAGTCGCGTGCACTCCTGAAGGGAGGCCGGTGCTGAGCTCCGGGAGGTCCCGGGTGGTGCCTGGAGCTCCCCCAGCTTTGCACTCTACCCGGTCCGGGCTTGCAGCTCCGCCACTGGGACATGCACATGCTTTCCCTGGCGCTGCCCGAAACCGCGCACCTCCTACGCAAAGCACGAGCGGCCTCGCTTTTTGTGACAGATGTGGCTTCCACATGGTTGGGCTGTTGCATATTTTAAACTACAGCCTCTCAGCTGTGCTTGGGCTGCATGTGTGCACATGTGTATGTGCGTGTGCGCACACCAACCCCCGTCACTGTACCCTAACTGCCTCTGGAGAGCTTGGGGTCCTTGGCAAGCCAGGGCTGTGGCTGTCAAAATTACTTTTATTTAAGAAACAAGACTGAGCCAGGCAGTTCCTTCCCACCTGTCTGGGCCATGGTCTGCAGCTGCCCGGGTTCCTTCCCACTGCCTTGGTCTCCCCACATCCTTGGCGAGAGCGGAGGCTGCTTTTCTGTTTTATAGTTGAGGTGTTTGTGGCTGAGGGACCATGTGCTTTGGGCACAGAGGTGCCGGAGTGGCCCATCTCTGCCCCTGCTGACATGCGGGTCCTGTGCCTGGGTGCTGGCTTTAGGTGTGTGCACCTGTTTGTTCCTTCCAGGCGAGGTGCCCTTTTAAAAGTACCAGAAGGGCAGCTCCCTTCTTGTAACAGCATTTTGTCAAAAATAGGGGTCTCACCCAGGGCAGTTCTGCCTCCAAGAACACTAGGCAGTGTCTGGGGACATTTGTGGTAGTCACGACAAGGGGAGTTCCTGGCATGAAGCAGGAGGAGGCCAGGGATGCTGCTTAGCACCTGCAGTGCCCAGGATGGCCCCACCACAGAGAAGGATCTAGCCTAGGGGGACGGACCCCTAGCCTCAAGGTCGTGTCCCCTCCCTGCTGCCCACCCTTCTCTGCAGAGCGTGGTGAGGGAAGGAAACCGCGTGGGCCCCTTGGGGGAGAAGGTGGTATCATGTGTGCACCCACCTCCACCCCTCCTATTCCCAGAACTCAGGTGGATTTGGTGGGAGTGGGCCTGTGTGGCCTTTCTTGATTTTGTGGACGAGGTGAGTTGTTTGCAGTAGCACGGGGCTGTGGTCTGAGTGTGTCGTCCAAAGGTTCATGTGTTGGACACTCGATCCCCAGTGCAGCAGTGTTGAGAGGGAGACCTGCAAGAAGTGATGAAGTCATGAGGGCTTAAATGGATTAATGCCGTTGTTGTGGGAGCAGGCTAGTTACCACGGGAGTGGGTTAGTTATTGTGGGAATAGGTTGGTTACCGTGGGAGTGGGTTGGTTATCATGGATTAGTTATTGTGGGAGTGGGTTGATTATCATGGGAATGGGCTGGTTACTGTGGGAATGGGCTGGTTATTGTGGGAGTGGGTTGGTTATTATGGGAGTAGGCTGGTGATTGCAGGAGTGGGCCCCTGATAAAAGGATGTGTTTGGCCTGTCTCTGTCTTGTGCTCTGGCTTCCGCCTTCTGCCATGGGATGACTTTTGCCAGATGCCACCGCTAGGCTCTTGGACTTCCCAGCCTCCAGAACTGTGAGCCAAATGAATCTGTTCTTTATAAATTACTTAGTCTGTGGTATTCTGTGACAGCAGCAGAAAACGGACTGAGACAGAGGGCATGAGGGATGGCGGGTGATCACTACTGATAGGGAATCAAAGTCGTGTTTTTTTTTATTCTGAAAAGGGTGCAAGGCAGTTAATGAAGACACCAGAGCGAGGCTGCTGCAGCCCAGGCTCCTAGTCTGTGGTGCGTCTGGCGGTTTGGGACTCACACCTCACCTGAGTGGGCTCTGGAGCTGTGGGTCAGTTCCTCGGGCGCTCGGGGCAGGTCTCCTGAGGGCAGGACTGTGTGCAGACACTGCAGGGCACAAAACCAACCTCTTCTGCAGGAGCTGCTGGAGAAGGGTCTGTAGCAGGCACCAGCACTGAGACTATCATGACAGGCACCAAGAAGTTTCCAGAAAGCAGAGGAGGCGAGGTGCTTGTGTGGTGGTGGGGCTTTCTGGAGCAGAGGCTGTGAACCTGACACACAGCAGCCTTCAGGTGTCCATGGTGGGGATGGCACTGCAGACAGAGGACACAGCTAGGGCAGATGTGCAGAGGCGGGGAGATGTGGCAGGTGCAGGGACAGAGAGGGAGTGAGCCTAGAGGTGGGGGCTCAGGGCAAGCAGCGGGATGTTTTGAGTCCTAAAAGGGGGACTGTGGGACTTTAGTTCTCAGGCGAGTGCGGCCTGAGGAGAGTTACTGAGGGTTATTGAGTAGGTTATTGAGACTGTCCCTTTTTAAGAGTTATTGATTGCTGCATAATGAAATCACCCCCAAACCTAGCAATTTAAAATAACAAACACTTATCATTTTATGTAGATTCTCTGGGTCAGGAATCTGGTAGCACTTTAGCTGGGTGGTCCTGGATTGGGATCTCTTGGAGGTTGTAGTCAAGACACCAACGAGGGCTACATCATCCCAAGGCTGTACTGGGGCTGGAGGAGCCGCCACCAGGCTGGCTGCCTCACACGGTTCCTTGTGGGCCTCTCCATGGTGCTGCTGGGGCTTCCTCACAGCATGGCGGCTGTGCCCCAGAGAGAGTGACCCCAGAGGGAGAGCAGGGAGGCAGCTGCCTTGTCTTTGATGTCCTTGTCTCAGAAGTGACACACGGTCGCTTACTGTCCTATTCTTTCCTTTTTTATTTTTTGCGGCTGTCCAGTGCAGGGATCCGAACCCTTGACCATGGTGTTATAACACCACGCACTAACCAGCTGAGCTAACTGGCCAGCCGTGCCCTATTCTTTTCATTAGAAGCAGATCCCTAAATCCAGCCCGAGTTC